TTATGGGTAGTAATTACTTCACTGCCGGTGACATCATCTCACCACGCTTCCCGCACAAAAGTGACTAATTAGCTGTGCTGTCTTCTGATGCCTGCAATGTCTTTTTTTCCTCCTATTTTTTGTATGGAAGACAAGGCATGTCAAAACAAGACATTTCAACAACCCAAGGCAACACAGCTATCTCTGTAGCAACCTTTCTAAGCAGGCATACATTATACACCATGTGTGTCGCTCTCACACACACATACACAAACACGGTGTCTCTAAACCCCAGCAGACGGCCTCTAAACAGTTTACTTGGAGAACAAATGCAGTGATGGGTAGAAGTTTCCAGTTGATCCCCTTGTCAGTTTCAAAAAAGACAAAGGATGCGTTTGAAATCGCTCCATATACCCTTATACAGTGCACTATTTGCAACCAATTGTAGTGGTAACCGAAAACATAATGCAACTCAATAATGAGTGTATAACTCATGCACAGAATACACCATTCACTGCGAGAAAGAATTCTCGAAGGAATATATCCAGGGTCCAAATTCACTCACTCAATTTCTTTTACTGGACTGTTTTAATGGAAAAAGTAGGGAATGGTGAATGAGGGTATATTTTAGATATAGCCATTAAGTAGGAATGCTCCGATCGTTTGGCATCGGCTGATAATAACATTTTATGACTCGATCGGTACTCACTAACTTGGCCGAACTTACAAACTGATCGCGATTTGATGACGTCAACGCGTGAGAGGAAGTATGACGCGTGGGGACTTAAATTATTTGGCGCGCAGTCATGTCTTCGCCGGTGTGGAACTACTATGTTTCGAAAAAAAATGAAAAATTCCCTATTTGCTGTATATTTTCCAAAGAAATCTCACGTGGAGGAGCATTGTCCAAAACATTTAATACAACGAACCTGATTTGTCACTTAAGAACGAGCCACCGCGAGACGTAAGGCGAATATGAAAAACTGGCAACTCCAAAAAAGGCAACGGTAACTAGTAATCTGACTCTCACTCAGCTTTATTTTGTCCTGCTCAGACTTGTATTGGACGATGGTAAAATTACATCAGACTTCTCCATTTTAGGAGACTAAATGTTTATTTTGTCCTCCACAGTATTGGACAATGTTTAAATAAACCTTATGGGCTGCATTAAACTGTTCCATTTTGTTTATTTATCTTATATTAAGTCAGTTAAGCATCGGAATCGGTATCGGTCGATCACCATGACAAGAAATCGTTACTCGGTATCGGCTGCAAAAATCCTGATCGGAGCATCCCTACCATTAAGTATTCACTTTGTGGTTGGCAGCATCCGAAAGCTTAGGTAATGACTAAGCTAACCTCACGAAAGTGATACATTTGGTGATAAATTAGTGAATATTTAATTACTTCAATAGTAAATTCTCACTAGAAATGACATCAAAAGTGGAAAACGTTGCTCAAAAAACATGCATAACCAACTGTGAATCTACAGTGGGGCCAAAAAGTGTTTAGTCAGCCACAGATTGTGCAAGTTCTCCCACTTAGAATAATGAGAGAGGTCTGTAATTTTCATTATAGGTAGACTTCAACTATGAGAGACAAAATGAGGGGGGGGGGGAAATCCAGGAAATCACATTGTAGGATTTTTAAATAATTTATTTATAAATTATGGTGGAATATAAGTATTTGGTCACCCAAAAACCAGCAAGATGTCTGGCTCTCACAGACCTGTAACAACTTCTTTAAAAAAGCTCTTCTGTCCTCCACTCGTTACCTGTATTATTGTCACATGTTTGAACCAGTTATCTGTATAAAGACACCTGTCTACAGCCTCAAACAGTCACACTCCAAAACTCATCCATGGCCAAAACCAAAGAAGGACAAACAAAAATTGTAGATCTGCACCAGGCTTGGAAGAGTGAATCTACAATAATAGGCAAGCAGCTTGGTGTGAAAAAAAAGACCACTGATAATCTCCCTCGATCCGGGGCTCCACGCAAGATCTCATTCCATGGAGTCATAATGATCATGAGAACGGTGAGCAAAAATCCCAGAATTACACGGACGGACCTGATGAATGGCCTGTAAAGCAACATAGGCTACCATAAGTAACACACTACACCGAGAGGGACTCAAATCCTGCAGTGCCAGACGCGTCCCCCTGCTTAAGCCAGTACATGTCCAGGCCCGTCTGAAGTTTGCCAGAGAGCATATGGATGATCCAGAAGATGATTGGGAGAATATCATGTGGTCAGATAAAACCAAAATAGAACTTTTTAGTAAACTTGCCGAGTTTGGCGGAAGAAGAATGCAGAGTTGCATCCCAAGAACACCATACCGACTGTGAAGCATGGGGGAGGAAACATCATTCTTTGGGGCTGTTTTTCTGCAAAGGGGACAGGAAAATATTATGACCATATTATGACCTAAAATGGACATGATGCCTCCTGAAATGGACATATCAGCATCTAAAATGGACATATTATCACCTAAAACGTACATATTAACACTTAAAATGTACATATTAGCACCTAAAATGTACATATTACCACATAAAATATCCATATTATGACCTAAAATGTACATATCAACACTTAAAATGTACATATTAGTACCTAAAATGTACATATTAACACTTAAATGTTAAAATTACCACCTAAAATATCCATATTATGACCTAAAATGGACATATTAGCTCCTGAAATGGACATATTAGCACCTAAAATGTACATATTAACACTTAAAATGTTAAAATTACCACCTAAAATATCCATATTATGACCTAAAATGGACATATTAGCTCCTGAAATGGACATATTAGCAACAAAAATGTACATATTAACACTTAAAATGTACATATTAGCACCTAAAATGTACATTTTACCACCTAAAATATCCATATTATGACCTAAAATGTACATATTAACACTTAAAATGTACATATTAGTACCTAAAATGTACATATTAACACTTAAAAAATACATGTTAGAACCTAAAATGTGCATATTATGACCTAAATGTACATATCAGCACCTAAAATGGACAAAAGTTTACCTTTTGAAAAGGTACAGCCGCAGTGACAGCTTTAGTACCTTTTTTTCTGAGAGTGTAGAGGAGATCTGCATGGAAGAATGGGCCAAAATACCAGTGTGTGCAAACCTGGTGAAGACTTACAGGCTTAAAGGAAACGTTTGACATCTGTCATTGCCAACAAAGGTTATGTTACAAAGTATTGAGTTGAACTTTTGTTATTGACCAAAATCCTTTTTTTTCCCACCATAATTTACAAATAAATTCTTTGAAAATCCTACAATGTGTTTCCCAGGATTTTTTTTTTTTTTTTTTTTTTTTGTCTCTCATAGTTAAAGTGTACCTATGATGAAAATTACAGACCTCTCTCATTTATTCTAAGTAGGAGAACTTGCACAATCAGTGGCTGACTAAATACATTTTTGGCCCCACTGTATATTTTTCAGCTCAACCGTCACAGAATAGAATGCACAGGATTGGTCGGATAACATCGGCAGAGAAGGATACATCTATGCTGCCTTCAAAGATCGTTCAGATGAATCTCAGGAGACAGAAATTAAGCTAACTATTGGATTCAGACATGCCTTGGAATGTACCCTCCGAACGAAGGTAGCATTTTTATCCTTTCATACACAGCCGTTGCCAAAGTTTGTGCATCATGTTCATAGTCAATGTGATATACTACACAGAGGTACGACACCTGTAAGAACTAACTTAATACATCCATCAACAATTAGCTGGTTAAAAGCAACAGCAAAAAAGGAAAAGTGAAATTAGTTTTGAGAAAAGGCCAATTGGCTTGATATTTTGAGAACTAATGAAATTGCATTCATTTATTGTTGAGTGTGGCTTCAAGTGTCCAAATGATTTTCTCTCTTGGTGTAATACAGATACCACAGATCTTTCTGTATTCCACATTATTCCTTTCTTATTTTTCAGAAAAAGGTTGCGCTTGTGTGCATTCAATCAATATCAAGATAGTTATCTATTGTATATCATTCACGAGTGGGCTGAAATATAATCACGCGAGGTAATACTGAACAAGAAGTGTGACCTGTGACTTTAAAAGGACCAAGAACACCTGTAATCATCACCACATATTGTACTGTACAACCAGTGACCTCAACATGATTTCATGTCCTTGATGCACCAGTCAAAATGAAATACTTTTGACTGCAAGGGAATTGAGGAAAACATGCCAAAATACTTTCTCTGAGTGAAACATTAAGCATTAATAGATTTTCCCTGCAATTTAACTTGCATTTACACTGAGACTATAACTCACTGTGATTTTTATTTATTTATAAAACAACCTTACAACCTTTCCATCTTTCACTTTTCCTTTTTTCTTGATTAAAATTATAATGATATCCAAATAATAACCTTTAATCATCTTTCAATTATAATTAACTGTTTAAAAATAAAATAGTTTGACTGTCTCGTTTTTTTTAAATGTAATTACTGCGACAAGTTAAATGGATGGAAACATAGATAATAATATAATAATGACAATATAGACAGTAATCGAATTATGAAAATTAATACATTGCAGATTGACACATTTTTTTTGCAGAACTGCTAAATAGAATTAGTGAAAAACAATCTACCTGTTGCTAACCTAGTTCTTGACAAAATCTTGATTAATAGTAGTCAAGATAATAATAATAAACAAACATTATTATAAAGTTTAGGAGAGACCAAAATGTGTGGGTTCATTCTTTGTTGATTACTCCTCGTGTCAATAGTGATGGTGAGTAAATAAAATTCCCAAAGAGGTCCTTAAAATCAAAGGGCAGGCTTATGAAAAGTCATCACGTACTGATATTCCATTCGGTTACCGTGTTCTCATTCCACTATTGTGTGACCGAGTGAAGTTTGTGACCAGTCAGTTCATTACATGATGAACAAAGGAATACTCCACTCCCCCTTTGTGCTCAACTTTGAGAGCAGACGCACCAAAACTCCCGCTAAAATATTGCAAAAACATTTACCTATGTCAGGAAGTCATCTTCGAAGAATTTTATCTTAAACATGTTTAAGTCCATTGATGCGTGATCCCGTTTTGTCGTTGTAATCCAAAAAGCGTAAAACTTTCAGCGTTCAGATGTTTTGCTTGTATTGATGATAATGCATTGTCTGCACGTGCTTAGACAGCTCGATAGACCACGCCCCCTTCACCCATGACCACACCCCCTGTCCAATACCATGTACTTAGCAGCATGACACCTACAGTTTCACCTACTCACGTTTGTAAAGAACTTTATTCATGCTTGTCTGTTTTTTTTTTTTTTTTTAAGTTAGAAAATGTAAAGATAATAAAATCTTACTTTGACATGATAGTCGTAAATTGCACTCATGAATAATTTCTTACACTAACAGCACATCCACAGGTGTTGATTCTGAAATATACTGCTCAAAAAAAAATAAAGTGAACACTTACACTTAAAAAGTAAAAACAAGAAAAAAGTATTTAATAGGATTATTTCATTCATTCAGATCTATGATGTGTTATTTTAGTGTTCCCTTTATTTTTTTTGAGCAGTGTATATTGAGTCACATTTGTTTCTTCAATTGAATATAAAGGTCATTGAGTGTATTGAGGGCTCTTTTTTGAGTAAACTGCTTATATATATGTTTGTAAATAAATATACGTTCACAAAAGCTATCAGGTTGTATGTGACATGCATGGATCCACTAGTTTGTGGATCAGTGTAAATATTTCTAAGTGTTTCTAATCTCTCTAAGTGCACTGATACAAACCATCTGTGCTGCCTTCTGCTAGTGCTAAAGAGTTATTTAGTGTGTTGATTGGGATTAATTAATTTTATTAGTAAAAAAATTATTAGCATATATATATGCTAATACATTTTTTACTAATAAAATTAATTAATCGCAATCAATATATAAACACACACACGCACACACACATACATACATACATACACATAAAAAAAAACATACATACACATAATATACAAGGAAAAAATAATAAATAAATAATAGCAGATTCATCTTCAAAAGTTTACATAATGCTTTTATTTTATCTTTTATTCCATTTTAGTACTGCCCTTCAGAAGCTACATAAGATGCTACAACTCTGATCATAATATTCAAAACATTTTTGTGTGTGTGTGTGTGTGTGTGTTGAGATAGCTTTTCTAGACAGCATTAAATAAATAAAAAACATGCAATTTTTATAATCTCTTTTATTTAGTTACAAATAAATGTTGGTAACCCCGAACCTGTGTGTGTGCGTGCGTGCTTGTGTTTGTGTGTGTGGCCTGGTAAACCCTAAGGAGATAGCAAAATCCGAAATCTTTGTCCAAAATCTTTGCATATGAATCATACTATTTATTTTATTTATGTATTTATTTATTTATTAATTTTGAAAATGAGAAAATTCAGAAAGTTTTCTGTGATGGGAAGGTTTAGGGGCAGGGTTAGTGTAAGGGGATAGAATTTTGAAAATCCCCATACAACACGAAAACACAACGTGTGTGTGTGTGTACAATAACACACCCACACACACACACACATATATATATATATATATGAACTTTGCCTATGTCACTGACTCCAGATAACAAGTCAGTGCATAGCAAGTAACACAGATCCATGAGTTTGCAACCAGCACCCCAACACAATCCATCATCCAAGCCTGCTTGACAGACTGATACATTCATATCTTTACTTTGCACAACTGTGGTATTCAAACGGCTTCCTGTCTCTTTTCTCATTTGGGGGATGTAAACAGATTAACGCAAAAATCTTTCGAGGGCCCCCTCCCCATTCCCGACACAAACCAGTGCACCCAGAAGGAATTAATTGGTTTCAGCAGTCATCCCTTCTGAACAATCCACTTGAGCGCCCCCAATGTAGCCTCCCGGCAGAGACATCTCATCTGTCTCACACTCCTCCCCCACAGAGCCGACGTCTAGACCCTCTTGCTGCAGTGTGCATCCATGCTCACACTTGACTAGGGCATTAGGTTCACACCCTGCACTATCAGTTGGGATGATGCTAGATAATGACTCAGGCCGAGTTGCTGAAACACTCAGCTCTTGAGACACTGACAAACCATCTGATCTGTTTTTTCCCCTCATGTAAACATGCCATATTGCCGACATGTAATGTGATTATTGCATGTTTGTGATGTCTGGATCGTCTCTGTTAGACGCACACTCACCGCCTGGGTCTTATTGCGGACAACCGGGGAGGGAGGGGTGAATGGATGGATGTTTACTAAGGACTAGAGAATTGAAACAGTGGTGTAATGTTATTATGCGACAGTACCCTGTCCCTCCAGGTTGCAACATGCCCGTCAGTCACTACATACGTCTCATTTAGTGTGACGTGCAGAAACGGAGCTGATGCAGGGGACTGTGTAAGTGGTATTGATAAATAATCATATTTATTCTCAGCTTTCGAGCTTGATATTTTATACTGGAATGTTTTTAAAGTTGGGAAACACAATTTATATAATTTTAGTGTTCAGTGTTGGCGTAGTTACTGTGTTTAGCCTTTGTGGGGCAGTGCTGCTCCCAGAAATGAACACGCGTGTTGTGGTGCAGAAAGATTCTTTGGATTTATGACACGTTAAATGCAAGGACAAATTGTATTTGGGAAATCAGAAAGGGAAACAGTCTTGCAACTGAGATTCAGTTCCAGCTGATTTTATTTCCTTCTTGGAAAAAGACAAAGTTCTGTACAGAGGTCTGACAGGCAGTGACTTGACACAATTGGCTGGCTTTTGAGTTCACTACTCAAATGTTGAGATATGGTATGGCAAGACAAAACAATATTGTACACAGCATATTGCACAAAATGAAACAATAAAACATATCTATATATTCCAAAAGTCATGAACAACACTCTTAAACATAGGGATGTATAAAGATATATGTTCTCGTTCCTGTCATGATATATCATCGTCAGACATAAACACGCAATCTTTTACTTATTTTACAGTCAATGTACATAGAAGTCTTCATGTTGATCCTCTGCCTTAAACACAACTGCTCTACATAAACCTGAATTCAGAAATACAAAATGCTATTCGCCATGCCATAATATACTAAAACAATTAGCTACATTTAGCCAACAAGTAGAAAAGATTAAATATCCTTGTACAATTATGGAGTGAAGATGTACTTCATTGTTCATGAATTATAGGCATTTCGACCGTATCTGTAATTCCATCCAGTGGTTCAAACCGAAACGCGTCACTATAAAAGCACAAAGAAATCGGTATTCAAAAGGTACAGTGTCCCAAATGAGGACACGATAAAACGCAGCTGTCGCTGCAGCTACATACAACCTCATTCAGCGCGCGCATCGTAGGCTAATGATGATTGGTCGTTGAAATGTAGATACTGTCTCTTTAAGAAGCCTGTGGATTGACACTGTAAACATGTTTAGGGGGCAGATTCTGGAGACAACCCAACCCCCTGGCTTTAAAAATCGGAAATCCAAACAGCGATATTCACCGATTGACACCCCCTCGATAGATTTTGTACAAAAATACACTCAGAAAATAATGAAACATTTAATCTCCGTTCCATGTGAGAAGTCATCAATTAAATAATACGAAACAAAACTAGCCCTTCCGCGAGAAAGACGAACATGTGCATGTGTAGCCTATACACACACACACACACAACAGACTGACTAGAACACAACTGACTGAGGGGAGCAATGTTTGGCCGTTATAAATACTACATCGATATAAAAATGCCAGCGCTTAAAAGTTACTTGTTGCGAGAGAACGAGGATGAAAAAAGTAAAAGGCAGAGAAAGAGAGGGAGAGAACGCTCCTCGGATGAATTTTGGTCCTGATTTGTAGTGTAAAGAGTCGAATATCATCTGAGTTGCGTCTGAATCCTGATGTCATGACGACAGAAAAGCTGGTGATAGTGATTGTTTTGTTTTTGCGTCTGATACGGCGCTGCTGCCATTCGGTCTCAATGAATCAACACCAGTTACGCTTCTCAACAGCCTTTCGTGGTTAAATCGTAATGAAAGCATGCGATTCTGGTCTAACAAACGACTCTGGTAAACAACCTCAAGCGCGAGCACCTCCATTCAGTACCTCCAGCAAAAAAAACAAGCATTTTTTTCTCTTTAAAAACGTCCCTTTTTAAGTCGAAGAGGGCGCACAACTCGCCACCGCGCAACGCCTTCCTTCCTCTGCGTCCAAAGCGCGCCTCCTTCCAGCACCAAACGAGCAAGCTAAGCACATTTCATCTGCACTCTTGTCAGTGGATAATGAGAGCCCACAGTATCTGATGCATGATAAACAAGAGGAATCACGTCGTTGATTCGTCTTCTGACTCATCTCGGAGGATTTTTGCAGTCCTCCAGTCATTTAGATTTTTTTTCCCCCAAAGTTCTCCTTTCAATCAGACTCGTTATTAGCGCTCAATAAGTGAACACCAAGTTTGATATTGTCGATTCGAGCCAGTCCCCTGATATCATCTCGCTCACCTCTGGAGTGCAGTAGTCGGGGAACTCAAAGTGCGAGCCGGAGCCAGACTCAAAGTTGAACTCCAAATCTCTGTCCAGAGGCGCTGTGCCAAACGTGCTTAAGCTGTCAAAGCCGGGACTGGGGTCCGCCAGCTCGTCCTCGAACTCCTCGTCCGAGGAGGACGACTGCGACGAGGACGAGTGCGAGGCGGAGGGCGTCGGAGACGGCGCGCGGGTGTACTTGAAGCGCGCGGCGGGCTCCGCGTCTTCTTTCCCGCTTGCCAGCCCGTCGTCATACAGGCTCAGCGGGTCGCTGGATTCCGCCGAGCTGCTCAGAGTGGGACTGGCCGGCACAGCGACGGAGGGCGGGCTGCTGTCAGAGCTGCATCCCCCGAACACATGCCCGCGCTTTGCTGGCTTCTCGGGTATTTGTTTGGCGGCGGAGACGGACCTGGACTTGTAGAGCGCGTGGTGGTCTGCAGGGACGGAGTGGGCGGTCAGCTCGAGCGGCGTGGACTTTCTGTGCGTCCTGCTGAAAGATTTCGAGCTCTTTTTGGATGCAGACTTCGCGCCGGGGCTGCCACTCACGCGCTCCCCCTTCTCTCCAGTCTTGCCGCTGGATGACTTCACCTTCTTCCGAGGTCGATATTTGTAGTCAGGATAGTCTGCCATGTGCTTGAGCCGCAGACGCTCGGCCTCGCGGATGAAGGGGATCTTGTCGCTGTCCTTCAAAAGTTTCCAGCGCTTGCCGAGTCTCTTGGAGATCTCCGCGTTGTGCATGTCCGGCGACTGTTCCATGATCTTGCGCCTCTCTATCTGCGACCAAACCATGAACGCGTTCATCGGCCTCTTGATGTGCCCCGATGGGGTTTTGCACCAGGCGATGTCCATTTTATCCCCAGCTGAGTTTGGGGAGCCGGGGGTCTGAGACGCGTCCATGTCTAGGTCCATCTCCCCCGAATCAATAGAATCGCCGGGGAGCACGTCGCTGTTGCTGTTGCTGATGTGCGTTTGCTCCACCATAGCCAGGTCTGTGTCCATGCGCTACAAACAGTCTCAACTTTTAATTGCGCACGAAAATCCTACACGTGCTGCAGCTCGAGACGCGTCTTTCTTCTTCACTCTTGTGTGGAATGAGATTTAGTCAGTCTGGACACAAAGTTGCTGCTGCTGCTGACTGTCTTTTGGTTCAGCACACCGTCCACAAAGCGCATATCCCTGTCAAGTCCCGGCAACGTCGTCAAATTCAACAGTCTGCCGTTCAACTGCCGGTTCGACTGAAAACGAACCCAGAGTGCGCTCTGGACGCGAAGTATCTGAAGCCGTTTAATGGAAACGGGCAAGTGTCTTCATCATAGTTTGTCGTATGACCATGCGGTAGGTTTAAGCGACTGCACTTTTTCATGCTCTGAACTTCCTATCACCCTTCACAACTTTCAATACTTCTGCTTAACCGCCTCACAAGGATTTATCCTTTTCCGAAGGTATAAAGGAAAGAGATTCCAGCCAATCAGCTGCTGTCACTAGCCTATCCACAGCCAAAGCCACACCTCGTCGCCGTTCATTGGCTGAATATAGTATCTAATAATAATCGGCGCGTGCAATGAGAAGCTTTCTGTCTGACCTCATTCCATCTACACTGCAAACTTAGTTTTAAAGGCACATTATGCACTCCCCCTTTCCTAGATCGCACGCTGAATTTGGCAAGGGTGTAAGTTAGGATAAGCAATTCTGATGTTCGATTATGAGCGATAACACGGATTAAAATGTGCTAAGATCGTTAAACCCAGCTTTCCACAATCAGGTGTTTACTTTTTTTTTTTCATAGAGGGACCGCAAATTATTGTTTTACTTATGATATTTAATAGCGTTATGAATAGAATGTTCTAATAAAAACAACAATCGCTCATCCATTAATATTCAGCATTCACAGCACCGCGCGTTATTTATTTATACACAAAGACAGCGCGCGCCCACATGCCACGCGCTTCTCCATTCAAAGGCAGCATGTTCTTGTTTGTGTTGTTAGCTCGCGCTCCAGTTATAGGGTTGCGAAAAATAAAATATTGATAAACGTGCTTTATGGTTGGTTTTCGGCAATGTCTATTTCCTACACAGCCCGTTTCATATTCTTCCAAATGTTGTATTTCTAGCTAGGCTACTAGAACGAATCTGACACCAGAATGCACTCACACAGCAAACAGTCAAATGCAAGAGGTGAAGAAAGCGTTTGGCAACATGACTCTGTTTAAACCGCATTCATTCATGCCTCCAGATGGCGTACTAGAGCCAACGTAGGACCGAAAACAGTTGTTATTCCACACAGAAAGTGTCTGCTCTGAATAACTGTTTAACTAGATAAAACAGATCTGAATATGCATTACGTAATCAAGTCATCTATCATGGATAGAACATCACAACAAAAGCCAAGTGTCTCAAGTCACATTATTGTGAGATGGGAAGATTCAGGTCTACTATCTCTGCTAAGCAGACAGTGACTTCCTAAACCCTGAATCATTATAACTGAAATCAATATTTCAGTGACCTCAGAGCTAAAGTATTAGTTAAAGAAAAAGGTTAACCATTTACCACACCAATTGTACACCATGTGCATGAGATTTTCTAAGGCAATACTGTGCCCATTTGATTTTGAATACAGTAATCAAACACCTTTGACTGTTTAAACAGGTGTGCTGGGGAGAATGCACACTAGTTTACCTTATCGTGTCTCATTACAGGGACAGATGGTCGCCCTGCTACACTTACGATTATTTACTTTAGGAGTTACACCTCACTATGAACAGCTATAGGCCACACAACTGCTATTTTCTCCAGGTGAGTCAAAGGTGAGTACTGTTGCATGATGCCAGAATCGATTGTTTTACTTTGTCGAACTTCAACTTCAAAACTTTGTTTCAATTTGCTTATAATCTCGACAACCACAAGTGTATTATATCAATAGGTGTGCTATTTAAGTCACTACAGGCAGAAACGTTTGTTCATGGTCAGTTATGAGGTTTTTGTGCTATTTGACTTTTTATAATGTCAAGGAAACATCCATAATACACTTATAAGTGATAACGGTGGTAATATATACACTCACAGGCCTGGTTTCACAGACAGTGTTTAGATTAAGCCTGCATAGGCCTCAGTTCAATTAAAGTTTAAGTTAAATTAGACAAAAACATGTGCATTTTGAGACAAAACAATGGTACTGACTTATTTTAAAATGTGTCAGTGCAAGTTACTTTCAGTTAAAACAGCTCAAACATGCATTTTAGCCTGGGACTAGGCTTAAAGGGATAGTTCACTTTGAAATTGATTCATTTTTGATATGTTTTAGCTTACCTCAAGGGCATCCAAAATGTAGGTGTCTTTGTTTCCACAGTTTCAATTTTGATATTTTTTGGTCCGTTCTTGTCTGTCAGTCATATCTGTCAGTGCACAGAGAAGTCCAAATTAAACATGACAACCTTTATTTCGCACTTCCGGCCCTTGCGCAGGTCACTTGGATGTGGCTGTGGTTACAATAGGTATAAGAATAAATAGTCTACTGTTCGTTTTCTCACACAAACTTAGGCCTTCAATGTCTTAGGTCATCAATGTGTACTTACATGAGTCATTCAAGACTTCGTGCTCTTTAAGGTGGACCCCATAAACCTCCATTTTATGACTGACAGACAAGAACGGTTTGACCTAAAACTATCAAATTGAAAATACTATGGAAACAAAGACACTTACATCTTAGATGACATCTTGGATGCGCTTGAGGTAAGCTAAAACATATCAAAAATTCATTTCAAAGTGAACTATCCCTAAGCCTCGTCTGTGAAACCATGCAGGGGTGAAGAATAATGATCTTAACCTTTATATCCGATTCCATACTGAAATCTCAGATGGCCAGACAGTGTTTTATTGGTTTAAATCGTTGAAATGTTGGTGTCCCATGTCCCAGGAAACTTTATGAAATTTTAGATTAAATGTGTGATATGACTAAGTGTTCATAAACAGCTGTTTCTCAATTGAAACAAACAGAGGGCTAGATCCACAAACAGGTTTTCTTACATCACGTCTTAACAAGCAGATTGCACTGTAGATTTCAATTATAATGCATATCTTTAAAGGCTGTTTTCTCAAAATTAGTATTTTTATTTATTTGTTTTATTCAGCAGCACTTACATATACTTAACAGTTTTATTTACATCTGCATTTGCCTGATTTTATACTTTTTATTCTTAAATACAAAGTGATTTTTTTTGCTGTTAACAGTATTTTCCTATGTATAGAGTGACAAAAAGAGATATCCAAAATCCCCTCTAAAACCTTTGAATTCCGAACCTGCCCGTCTCTATTTACGGTTCAGATTTCTGTTCTGGAAATGTATGCAAATGAGTGCATATGTAATGAGATCATTTGCATATTTAAACATCACATTTCAGAAAACCTGTAATACCACCTTTTTGTTTTACGACTCTTAACAACTGGGGAAGTGTGGTGATGTCTTTTAGTTAAATCCTTATTCACCAGGGCTGTCTTTTTAAGAAAACAAAATCACCTACAGGATAAAAGGCATGAAAGAGATGGACAAATCCACTCATAATGAGAGTATTTGATCTCATAGGCTGAAACGAGAGACTTTAGTAATGGTCTGGCGGCACGGCGCACCGACGACTGCCTGCTTAATTCACTCATTCACTCCCCGCTACCACGGCGTTCAATCCAAACCCCACTCCTCAAGCTTGACTTAGCGTTGCCATGGAAATCCTGACTGTTTGCTCTCAAAACACATTCAGACAAGAAAGTACATGATCTTGCTAGTCTTAGCCCAGCGGAGCTGAACTACGCAGTCTACAAGGACACGGGAACGTTCTCATCAATCTGCCTGTCGATCTCCAAACCCATACACAAACAAATATGAATGGATTTGCATAGATGTCAATCTGATGGCTTGGGTTATAGACAAGCGGCCAACGGACTAGATCTGGGTTTATGAAAATGAGCTTATCCTGCAGTTGCCAGGAAGATGAATTGGGGCAGGGAACAGAGCAGACAGTGTGTACACGGAGGTCAGAATGATAGCTGGAGCCGTTATGACACGGTCTGGGGGAGCGTGCCTTCGAGTTATTCATTACATTCTTTCTGTCCCATCATTGCTGCCTTCCTCATTACCAGGCTAATTTCTCCAGCCCCTCTGCGCCGCTGCCGTCGCACAATGGAGTCTTTGTGCCTGCGAGCGTGTGTGTGTATCTGCGTGAGATTGCAACTGTTCAACTGAAATTTAACTGTGGTCCAAGCTGACCCCAGAAGGTACTCCTCTTAGCTTTTAAAGTCGCGGATCCCATCTGTAATGCTTTAAGTTCTCATAACTTAAACTCTTAACTTATTCTGCGAAAAGGTCACCCAAATGTCTGTCCCTTTCTTTAGTTGGATAAGCTTGCTTGTGGTGAGGTCACCCAGAGAGCCAAAACGGTTACAGCCAATTGTCCAGCTCAGCAGAAGACTGAGAACACAAGTTCAGGAGTGAACGGCTGATGGCTTATCTTCCACAAGGGTTTATTTCCCCATTGCAGCAATAAATCAGGAACGGCGCCCAAAGGCACGCCTCCTTTTTCAGGTTTCACGTGTTTCTAACGTTCACCAGTGCAACTCAATACAAGAGCTCCTGAGAACAGCAACGTTTATCTTGATAGCATCACTTCATCAGCACAACTGTTCTCAAAAGTGGTTTCATGTTAATTATGAGCTGATGTGTTTTCTCGATAAAGAGTCCATTGAAAAACTGAACAGAATTTTTTGGATAGATTCCAGTCAGGTTCATTTGTTTAAAGTGTTACCAACCGTTATGAACTGAGGTGATAATTACAGACCAACCGATAGCATCAAGAGACATATGTCTATTTCAATTCATTTATTTTCATATACCTGTTATTTATTAAGTGGGTGAATCTCATGAAACCTTTCAAGTTATATTTCACCCTGAAACCAAAAATAATTACACTGTAAAAAATATTGTTCACTGTAAAAAATAAACCGTAAATTTTACAGTAAAAAAACGGCAGCTGTGGTTGCCAGAACTTTACCGATAAAAATACGGTAGGAACGTTAATGGTTTTACAGGTTTATGGTTTTAAGCACCATCATGGTAACACACATGAAATTAAAAAATGCAATAAACATTAATTTAACAACATTAAATGTAACATATAAACCTAATGTACATAACTGATTAGAAAAAAAAACAATAAAACTATGAGGAACCATATTATTTCAACAAAAATACATAAAATTTGAAGTGTCACACAGGGAATTGTGGGAATGTCAATTTACGGGTTTTTCACTGTAAATTATACAATGATTTGTTCTTGTTCACTTTCAAAAACTGTCAATTATATCACAGTTATTTACCGTGTATAGTACGGAAACTTTCTGTTTACCAATTAACAGTTTTGCACTGTAGCATTTTTACAGTATTTTACCGTTAAAATCACGGTTATTTTTTACAGTGTTGGTTTAACTTAAAAAAGTGAGTAACCTGGTTGCCTTAAAATTTTTAGTTGATTGAATTGGAAAAAGTGAGTTAATACAATGAAGGAGATTGATTTAATCATCAGAAACTCAAAATAATAAGTTATCTCAACTAAATAAATTATTTAAGTTGATTTGACAAAAGAAAAAATGTTGTGATGACAAATCTTGAAAATATTTTTTTACAGTGATAAATGAAAAGGAAAGCAACAAAGCCTGTTTTACAACAGATTTTAATTTTGACAATGACAATTAAACACTCCCACATAATTCTCATTAGTGTAATGTAATATAACAATTGCTTATTGTTTTAATGTGGGAAAACATATTTGCATATTATTTGTGAAGTCTTTTATATCATTGCAGCAATAATGTTTATTTAAAGAAATACATAAACTCTCAAAGTGCTAAAGTGGTAAAAACACTGTATTACTGTAATGAGAGCATAATGATAATTACCTCTTTATGAATGATGGAGTTTATTCTTTCTTGAAGGTTGTCTGAATCTATTATGATAATTCATTTCATTTAAATAATTTCACAATGGAAAAAGGTTGTGTCTTAAGATTCATTTGTTATTTATGCAAAATCAATTTTTTTTTTCTCTCCCATTAATTTTGTGAACGTTGGAGGGTAATCTAATAAATTCATTTTTTTAGTGTGATTTACAGAAGGATTTAGGGAAAATAGTTTGAAAAGTTATTTTTTTTGAAAGTGTATAGCAGGTAACGAGCATATGATGGACAATATAATGTTAAATTCTGCTACATAGTCACCAACTGAAATATATATATATATATATATATATATATATATATATATATATATATATATATTGACTTTTGTGTACATGAGAGCTTAAACTCAATCTCTTATTAAGTAAACACAAGAGGTTTTACTCAAGGTTATGAATAGAGCTTGTGCTGCTCTGGAAGCAACAAAAAGTGTTTTGATGAGCAGAGTGCATTCACTTGTAGAAATGTCTTGTTTATGTTTTGCAAGCAACCTTGAGCAGGAGATTTTTCTCTGGGTTATTGTAAGGCTGTGCTTTTAAGTAAAAGGAGAGGGAAATGTTTTGTGGACAGTGAAGCGAGTGAAAAAAGAATGGCTAAATTTACAGTTATGGAGAGTGAATGGCCACTCTGCATTGAAAGTTATGTAATTTGGCTCAAGGTTTGTACCAAAAGTGGAAAATGTTTAGGTGAATATTGGAACAACATATTGTGTGTGTGTGTGTGTGTGTGTGTGTGTTTGCTGTCAGACTCACATCCATTTTCATTTCTGTTGGAGTTAGAGAGGACCCATCACTGACTTAACAGGTGCTGCTCATACACGCGCCACACATGCACGCACGCGCACGCACACACACACACACACACACACACACACACACACACACGCGCATGCATTCAAGCCTGCACGTACATCTTTACATGAAACCCAAACCCACTGACCTAAATTAATCTCAGTCAGGTCTACAAAGATGAGAGCTTTTCAACATATGTTTTAAGTTAAATCAAAAAAGAAAGAAAAAAAATTAATGGAGACTGGAACTGTCAAGCTTCAAAAATGATGTGAAAGCACTGTAAATTATCATAAAAGTAATCCATAGGACTTGCTCTGCTGGCAGAATGAGAGAAGTAACAATGATGGATTCATGAATGAATCATTCCTCTGAAACAGATATTTTCAATGAATCAGTTGATCCACATCCAGTGCTTGAAATGAAAAAAAAAAAAAAAAAAAAAAAAGAGTGCCGGTACTCCCGATGCTCGGTCAAAATAGGTTTCTGAGGAAGGGAGGGCTGAGGGTACGGGCAACATGTCAGAAGTGCCAGTATGTAAGAAAAACTGGTGGTGTGCGTACCACAGGAATTTATCAGCAGTTAACAAGAATATTTTTGAATAACAACTTAAATTGGTTGGTTAACACAAATGTCATGTCTTCAGAGTACTTGTAATATATATTTTACAGTACGTTACGTGTACTTATAGTGTACTTACAGTACTGGACTGGTTAATATAAGGTAACTACATGGGTTAATGGTTAGGGTCAGAGTTAGTACCCTGTTAATGCAATTACTATTATAATAGGTGTATACTATATTCATGGGTTACAGGACTCTAAAGTAAAGTGCTAATATGGATCACTTTACGAATGAAGCTTGAAAGCTCTTTTCCACTGAAAAGGGCGACCTTCAGCTTTTAGAAAAAAAAAGTGTCCCACTGAAGAAAGTACACTTTAAATGAATACTTGATTATTTTATTCATTTATTAGGTTATTCAATATTACATTTCTTAGGTTATTCAATATTACATTTCAAGTTAAAATATTGCAACTTGACCATTACAAATGTGTAATTACTGGCATAGCTTAATAGAAATGACAAAGTATATTTTTAGTTCACCATAAATGCTTGTCAGTACATTCGACAGTACACTTTAACCATTTTTAGAAGTAATTAAATCACATATAAGTCTTAAGTGAGCAGTTCAGCTAATTGCATTTAAAGGGATACTCCACCTTTTTTTTATTTTTTTTTTATTTATTTTTTTTGGAAATAGGCTCATTTTACCACTCTCCCACAGTTAAACAGTTGAGTTTTACCGTTTTCAAATCCATTCAGCCACTTTTCTAATATTTAGAAGAAAATCAGTAACCAGACAGTTTCTGGTCTCATTGACTTCCATAGTAGGAAAGAAATATACTATGGAAGTCAATGAGACCAGAAACTGCCTGGTTACTGATATTCTTCTAAATATAAAAAAAAAAAAAAAAAAAAAAAAATCGGCCGAATACATTCGAAAACGGTAAAACCCAACTGATTAACTCTGGGGGAGTGGTAAAATGAGCCTATTTCCCAAAAAAAGTGGAGTATCCCTTTAATATAAATGTATTATTGATGCATGGCAATTAACATGTCACATTCAGTGTTCATAAAAATAACATTAATTTCACACTTAAGTATATTATTTTAGAGTTTATAATAATTTCCAAAATAAGTATTCTTTTTTATTTTTATTTTTTTAAAGTTTGTTAAAGTGTACTTTTTCACAAGGGAAATATTTCTGGGCTTTGTGTTTAATAAACACATATACCCAAGAGAAAGAGAGAGTGAGAGTAGTGAAGAGTAGTGAAGGGAGGAGAAATAGAAAATAGTGTTTTTCTTGGACTCAGAACAATTATTGCTTTCACAATTGCAGACAGCAGGGCATCAGTACTGGAGATAGAGAAAGCAGATCACGTACCGGCTGCCTTTCCAGATTCTCTCCCTTTAACCGTCTCAACCATATGGATTTTAGAACAAAGACATTACGTTTATGCTAATCACAACAGCCGAGTGCAGACAAAGGACTGCAAAGGTTGTACCTGTACCATGATAAAGACACTGAGAATGCCATGCATACGAGAGCGTGTTTATACATAGTCTGTTTGTTCCATAAGAGGAGACAGTGACATTTAAAGGATGAGAGGCTGAAAATTGGAAGCCATTTTCATTTCATTGATGCACTTCAAAGAGAGAACAGAGTGGCAGAAGTGAGACAGAGAGGGAGGAAAAAAATGATTACAAATTAAGGTGGATCTCTCTCTCTCTCATACAACTTCCCTTTCTCTTGTTTATTATTCTATAGTGCCGCCGCTACTCCCCGGCAGCGGAGACAAGTATAGCAGAGGGTTAAGACACAGGGTTTTTCGTGCGGCACGGCACACCGAAAAACTTTCCCGGCATCCCTTCTGCTCAACGAAACGATGACGCATCATTCTGCTGACACAAGTCATCTGATTGCTGTGTCACGGCATGGTTTTAGGCGAGTGGCAGCGCTCTGGCTACAGACGTAGTCTTTTTTTTTTCCCTCCCAGACGCACTGCGGCACAGCCAGACAACTAGAGTGGAGGCACAGGAGCTCGCAGCTGCAGTCTACTGGCTTGTTTTGGGGAGGCAGAAGAGCCGAGCACTTCCTCTCAAAACACCGCCGTTCTGCTTCTCTCCGCCGTTGAGGGATCATTTTCAAAGAAAGTCAAACAACTTGGAATTACGCTCCGTCTCACATGCCGACGGAAAAATTTGGAGAAGCGAGCCCGGATCAAACGTTTTTTTTTTTGTTTTGTTTTGTTTGGAGCTGCTGATGCCATTGTCTCTATGTGCAGGACGGTGTTACCAGGCTGAAAAGTCGACGAGAAAGACTTGGATTCCAGCGCGTCACCGGGCCGTCCCGAGACGTCCAGTCAGCCGGGCCCGCCTGCATTCCCATTCTCGGCGACCGGCCAAAGTGGCCGTTCTCCTCCAAGGATGAAGTGGCTTTCGATCTTAGACTCGTCCAGAAAGCAGAGCAGAGCCGAACAGAAACGGCAACGCAGCAGATGAGCCGAGCTCAGCCAGACAGACAGACGTGTTGACCTAAATCAGCCCCAGTCATGTCTGGACGCAGCCAGAGCGAGAGAGGGAGAGAAAGCGATCCTACAAATACATAAACTCGCACTATGGTAGGTTTAGACGCCTGTAGTTTGTTTGCCTTCTGTTTTGGTTCAGTGTTTGCTGATGCTGTCCTTAGCTGAGATTAGCTTGTCTGTGGCTGTGCTTCTATCTTTGTGCCATAGGGATGGAGATAAACGAAGGAGGCTGTGCGGGGAGGGGGAGACTGAGTTCTCTCTCTCTCTCTCCCTCTTTTTCGGCACTGCTTTAGTTCCTTCTATTAGCTGGTGTTCATATTCAGCGCATCTCCGTTGATCTCCACCACTGCTGCAGAGCGAAACATTGAGTCGTTGTCCCCCTCAACTCCCCTGTTTGCACTTTTGGGTTCAGGTAAGACATTCACTTATTCGTCTTCGACAGCCAAATGTGTGAACCCCTTGGTTTGAGTGCGTGTGGGTGGGCGGGCGGTTTTTGTGCATTGCATTTTTATTCGCTCTCGGTAAATCCGAGGCACATTAAACCGCAATATCGTGAACGAGAGCACATTCCCCTCCTCCCATGCGCAGACTTCAGGGGAATATTACAGTGGGGTATGCTGGAGGTGCACGTTTCTGTTGAACTGAAGGACAGCTAATAACATTACTCAGATACGCCTCAGATAGTAGTTTAATCGCAGTATATTGGGAATGATGAGAACAGTGAGTTAAAGTAAGTAGTGTATGACGTTGTATTTGCTTCTGGCAACAAGTATTACAATACATGCAACGTCTAAATGTTTTCCTTGGCACAAATCATTAGGAACGCAATGCTGGTCACGGGGGGAAACAGAAGACTGATATCTCGAGCATCTCCACTCGGATTCCTCCTGCTAGCAAATCACTTATTAGTCATTGCTTGGAAAAGTACAACTTTACAGTTTTTTTTCACATCCACCAGTGCTCTCACACGCAACTTGGAGAGGTTTTTCTCTGTTAGGCTCTCAGGTAAAAGTTGTCACAAGTCTGAAGGGTCATGTTACATTTCGGTACTGTGAGATATGTAACCTTGTATAAATGCGTTTTCAGTGTCAAATACATTGGCAACGCGTATTCTTGTGTACTTATTCACGTATTCAGTGGCAGCACGGTGCCAGAACAGGATGGACCATCTGTTTTGCATGGGGGGCATAAAGTAATGTCACCCATGCAGGTAGAATAACTTGAACTATGTTTTAGATGGTATTTAGATAGTATTTATTGTTTACTTCAGTTCAAAATACATGGATGAGTAGCCTATATAGATAGTGGTGAGCAAAGCTGTATGCTAATTCTTACTGATGCATTTACAGTGATTAATTTAACATGAGTAATGACCTCTCAGATTTACTCTACTCTGATCTCCGTCAAACTATCTTAATAGTGCTAGTTCTGCCACTGGCAAACAAGGAGAGGCTATTCTTTTGTATTAAAGTCCCCCGGTAGTCAATAATATTATCCCTTAAAGCTTACCCATGACCATCAAAATTACATATTTAATTATTTTTTTTTTTTAAATATGTGGTTCTATGAATAGGCAAATCGGCCCCGCCTCCACTCAGTCACACTAACTAAGAGATCCACTTGTTGATGTGATTGTTTACAAGGTCGTTTGCGACGTTAGAAACACCCGCAATTTCAAACCGCGCTTTTGTCACTGTCTATTAAAGCATATTAAAGCAATACTCCACTTTTTCTCTTTTCGTATTAAACTATGTTATTCCCTGAACTAAAACGAGTTGATGCATACCTCTCTCGTCTCTTTCAATCGCGCAAGACACTTTGATCGCACTTAACTAGCCCAGTTCATTCAATACGGCCCAAGCAGAGAAGCGACCGAACACCTCCACGTTTTCCCTATTTAAAGTCCCCGTGAACCGGAAGTTGCAAACGATTTTTCTCCAGTGCTGTGACGTATATCCAAACGGAATATTGAACAGAGGGCAGGGTTTTACTCTAGCGCTCCTCCTCTCCATCTCTCGCTCATAGCAAACTAACGGTTTGAGGGGAGTGGTTAAGCGTTTCCCCACCCAAGCTGTGAAACCTACGTCATCAGAAAAAGAAACCGTTCCAGAAGTAACTATTCAGATTTTGATTAAAGATTACTAAGGTAAAACATTTTTTTAATATATATTTACTTGCACGGATTAATTGTTCACCACAAGACTAGTAATATGCGCTAACAAAATAAATAGGTTTAATTTTGATTTCACAGGGACTTTAAATGCAGTTACACGAGTAGAGTAAATCGACCAAGAATGGTGACACAAAATAAAACGTTACACTTTTCTAAAGTAAAGTGGATTATGGCGGAATACCACAGCGACTCGGCGTAATAATTTCATGATTCGTGAAAAGTCCTCTCCCTCTTCAGAGTGATTATATTACTGCGGCGAGTCCATTGATATATATGCACAGAGAGGAAGTGCTCCCAAGCACTTTGCTATGGTATTTTGCCATACATAGTTATCCACTTTACACGCTTAGAAAAGCGCAACGTTTTATTTTGTGTCTCCATTCCTGGTCGAGTTACACTACTCGTGTAACTGTATTTAAATTAGTAGCTTCTCTGCTATTGAATGACCTGGGCTAGTTAAGTGCTATCAAAGTGTCTCGCGCGCCACAGCGATTGAGAGCATGCACTGAGACGAGAGAGGTATGCATCAACTCGACTTAGTTAAGGGAATAACTTAGATTAATATGAGAAAAAAAAAAAAAAACGATGGCGTATCCCTTTAAAAACACCACATAGACATATAAATAACATTAAATGCTCAATTTTCAACACAAGGGGAATTTAAGAATTATAATATGTATATAAATCTGTATCAACAGAGCAGTTTTATTAATTAATGATACCCAATTGCTTGTATGGTTTTCTGTACACTCTCAGAAAAAAAGGTCCAAAAGCTGTCACTGGGGCTGTACCTTTTCAAGGGGTACACTTTTGTACCTAAAGGGTGCATAATAGTACCTTAATGGTACATATTAGCACCTAAAATGTACATATTAACACCTACATGTCCATATTAGCACCTAAAATGTACATATTAGCAAATAAATGTCCATATTAACACCTACATGTCCATATTAGCACCTAAAATGTATATATTGGCACCTAAAATGTACATATTGGCACCTAAATGTACATATTGGCACCTAAATGTATATATTGGCACCTAAAATGTATATATTGGCACCTAAAATGTACATATTGGCACCTAAAATGTACAAAAGTTTACCTTTTGAAAAGGTACAGTCCCAGTGACAGCTTTTGTACCTTTTTTCTGAGAGTGTATGCCATGAAATGCTATTACTTTGTTCAGGATTAAGAAAAGGAGAAATAAACCTTGCAATTCCATTTTGGATACCTTGTCACCCTTAAACACTTCAGTTACCATATTTTCTAGATTTGTTTTACATTCCTTTTAAAGCTAACATGCTTAGACTTACATTAGAAAAAGCCACTGTTTTGTCAGTACGGTTTATTAGATTGGCCTGTACCATTTGTAAGTCGAGGATTGTTTGAAATGTACTCCATCACTGGAAAAAAAAATAAGTGGTAGTTTTGCAACTGCAATGTTTTGACAATGTTTAAAACTCAAATAGACTTTAATAATCCCCAATGAGTGCATTTCACTATTTTACTTCAAATTACCCATGTTTTTTCTGTGCAGGTAGGGAAGTCTGTATCCCCGCTTGACACTCGCAGTAAAGCTTGTGGTTATAGCATCTCTGTCACTGCAATCAACACCAGTCATTTGTGGTGGATGAGTTTAAGTTTCCCTAACGAATATGAATAATAGATTTTAGGACGAATTCAATGCCGTTCCTTTCTCTGCCAACTTTCACCCAGGATTCAGTGGCATCGCATCAGTTACATTGTCATGGACCGTGCCAAGCATCCAGTTGTCCGTTTGTTTTTCCCCAACATCAAAACGACAGTTAGATCATATTAGCTACGTCAGCAGTTTCCTTAAATGACTCTTAAGTGCTTGCATCATGGAATCTTAAGTACTACTCGCAACATTACAGTACATGCATTCAATCTGTTGCTTTTCATACCAGAAAGTGGGTCACACATCTCAGCTCGTTCCAGACCCTACTCATCTCCATATGTTTCCTCAATCTACTTTCATTTGCCAGCTCATTCCAAAACATTAGTTATTATATCCCTTTTGCTAGTTAATACAGTGCATTTGAGCATCAGCTTTGATGCTTGGTTATTTTCTGAAGCCTCCTTTGTTCTGAACTAACTTCAATCATTCTTAAATGACTGAGCCACATCACAAAAACAGCACACATCTGAATGCACTTGAGGTCCTTCGATTTACTGAGAATTTACAAGCAGTAAATAGCTTTACCTCATTATCCAACGGTTTCCTGAAGGATCCATTATGCTACGGATTATTTTCAAAACCAAAAAGTAGCAAACACTTATAAAGGGTATTGAGTTCTCTGAGTCTGTAAACACCATACATTCATAAGGTTCACTCCGCGTTCTCAGTGTGAGCTTAATATAAACTACTTAATTCAGTCAGTTAGTCCTCTAAATATACATTTTCATTTTTGTGGTATTAGCCTGCATGGAGTTGCCAGTATGTGTCACTGATATTGTTTTCGAACTGACCGCAGACTGCCCTGATCCATATGGGTCAGTGACATGCAACCTGCGAAATCACGGAAGACACACTCTGTTGAATTACCACCGTAAAGATCACAAGCTCTCATCAAAACCAGGGACAAATATTTCCAAAGCGCATTTGTTAAGTTGTTTGAGGCTGATCATTTCAGCATGCAACTTATTTGAATATTTACATCTAAAAGCACAGTGCGATGTTTATAGCAATGCATGTTTTTGCCTGGTCCCATCAGTTCAGTGTCTTTTGAATGCATAAATAAGCAGGAGTATTATTGCACCGACTAGTTTTGTTATTGTCTTCATTACACACTGACAGTAAGCAAATGCGTGGAATGCACTTCAGGGCACTTTTCATGCCTTCATTACGGCTGTGTAATATTCAGCCGAGTTCATGTCCATTTTTAAAGCTGGCATGGGGTGTATTGTGCCTCGGTGTTTTGCTGCGGTCACTGGGCTTGTTATTTCCCCTGAGCTTTCTCTTTTATAACCACCTGAAGCTAACTCGCCACAATATCTGAATCAAAATTGAATTACGCATGTACACAGACTGTTTTTATTAAAAACCATGGCTTGTAAAACTGTTGGAAATCTAGTTCAGATGTTTAATGTAGTCATTAAGCATGCTAATTATACGCTTCTCTTGAATACTTGGTTCTGATTGGTAAAATATTTTTTTTGCGTTATGACTCCTAAACTACATAGCTGTGCTAGTTTCATGGCTATTGTAGCATTTTGTGGTCTCTTTTTTCTCATATATTAAAATAATTGACTTTAAGTAGCTGTGTAATAAGCTCTTTTTGTCACATTAAAGGGGTGGTGATTATGATTTCACTTTTTAAATTTTAAACACAGTGTGTTGCTGTTTGAACTGCAAAGTTATGTACATTCAAAGCAAAGGGAGATGTTTTCTTTTACAGCATCGCTTTTTAAGGACTACAACAAACAACTGGTAGGGACTACAATGAGCTTCTTCAGTGACATCACTAACCCTAATTTACATAAACCCCGGGATTCATCAACTAACCATTCAGAAATGCCCTGTTGCATTCTACAGGTCACTTCTTCTTGTCTCTCTCCATCTTTGTCCGACTTTTTTTTACTAAAAGTTTTTGAAATTTTTAGTGCGTGAGGTAATTTGAGCCGGTAACGCATGAGCTCTTCATGCTCCGCCCTCTGTGTCAGGAGCAGCAGCTCATTTGCATTTAAAGGGACAAGCACAAAAATGGTGTGTTTTAAAATTTTAACATGCTATAAAAATATCCATGGAGTATTTTGAGCTAAAACTTCACACTCGTTTGCCTCTTGTGAAAAGGGCTTTATAGGACCCTTTTAAATGTTTATTTTTTATAGTGATGCACATTTAGTGCACATCCTTTACCTGTGTTGAAATGAAAAAAAAAAAAAAGAAAAATGGCGGTAACCGGTCGATGGATTACCCCCTTGGAACAGAGGCTACTTGCAACATTTTGGCACAGAATCACCAACTGGTCAGGGGATAAAAAATTACTATTTTTGCGTATGACTTCTGAATTGTTTGTCCAAAAATAGTAAAACTCTTTTGATTCGAATGCAACCAAATTATCTCATATCAGCCATTTTGAAAATGTTCCATTTCGAATTTTTGACATAAAATGCTGTATTTTACAAACCTATTAGTGCATTGTTACAAAAATTGTTATGTGTTTTTGGCACTGTGGCCTGTTAAAAAATACAAAAAATACAATGTGTGTGTATTTATATATATATATATATATACGAAATAATTGTACACAGTGCATCCACATATAATATGTAAACACAAACTTTTATTTTGGATACGATTAATCGTTTGACAGCCCTATTTGGCATATTGACTCCAAACTTTGGATGTGTCATTGGCACCTCACACGGACCACACCACATCAAATTATTAACAGCGCCACCTATTGGCAAAAATGATAAGCTATTAAATCTAATTAATAGTGCTTGTATTTATACGTTTTCAGGCATTTTGCTTAAAACAATTCAATATTGTCCTCAATTTCTCATTGTTGTAGCTGGTCTGATACTCCCAGCCATGCTTGCATTACTCATTGTGCCTTTTTGAGTCTACTATTGATTGTTCTAAACCAAGCTACATTTGACACCAATTACAACTGATAACAAATGATAACCTCAGCTTCATATCTGAACCCGAATTGCCATTTACGGGTTTATTTTGGTTTATAATGACCTGCTGACAGCAAGTTTTCCCTGACATATCAAGAGCAGATACTGCATAAAAAAACTAGTTTTGTTACAGCTGACTATAAACTCCTTCACAGTTGACTCCCAGAAATGCTGTTTATATAAATAGATAAGTTGATACAGCTCAACACAGCATGCCTGCATAAACACGATTCCGTTTTCTCCAGAATAGCTCTCTGCAGAGTTTGCTTGGCGTTCGTTCGCACACTTTATGATCCAGTACGAGGCATTTGGGCCTGAGATGTGAGCAGTGTTTCCTGTGAGGATCCTTTGGCTGTACTGTGCAATCTGCCGCTCACCCCTGACAGCAGTCCACACACACACACCAGCATCATTACCCATTCCCACTGAAGCCGAGCTCCGCTCTGTTTGTGTTTGTGTGTTTACAGTAAACGGCGGGATAAAAGGCATGCTGAAGTGAGTTGGTCAGACAGGCCTTGCCAAACCCACAGGCTGTTCTGCTGCTTTGCTACCGCTGTGGTGTTTTGATGTGCGCTACTGCAGATGCAGTTTTTGGGCGATCACCAACAAGCTACCGTACATGAGGAGACTCTGGTAAAGTAAGGGATATCTTTCAAGGTTAGTGTCAAATCCCAAGAGCGCCATGATGCAGCTGTTCCTTTAGCACAATGTCAGTTTGTCAGGCCATGAGGCATCTGTCCCTGCTTGCTATGCCAAAAGCAGTTCAACAGAAGTGTGGATGCCCTTGTGAAAAAGAAGTATGCATAATTACATCGAATGTGTACTTGTAGTGTACTTCAAATTGAAATTGAAAACATACTTGTAGATCATGTAATATTGAAATAAAGATAAAATAAAAGGTTTCTTAAGTGTACTTTGAGTGTACATGAGTTTTTCTTAAGATACTTGCTATACAAATTAAGAGTTGCACTTTAAATTACACTTTTTGTCATGGACCTTTATGCTTATTATGCTATGTTTCCATACAATTTACAGCTTTCATAAGAAATCACCACCTTATGAAAAAAGTATGTGAAGTAATCATGAAATTACATGTAAAAATGTACTTACTGTAAGTTAAAGTCCAGCTAATTTAATGTAAGATAAATTTAAATATAATACAAAGGGATAGTTCATCCAAAAATTTAGATTACGTCATAATATAGAGCCCTTTTGCGCCAACGTCAAAGTTACGTCACGGCGCTAGCTGGAGTGAAAACTGGAGGCAGCCAATACAAACCAGCACAGATTCGGCTACATAATGAGGAGCTTAAATTATTGTTACTATTATTAAATATCATCTTGTTGTGTTGTTTGGTGCGAGAATTGATGAAAAATTCTAGAAAATATTCACATCATTAAAATCGCACCGTAATGTCACTCTTTACATTGTCGTCGTCTCTGCGCTGGCTCGGCAGAACTGCGGATCGTACACACACACACATACACAAGTCTTGTACAGGGCCATTCAGTACATAGTTATAGGCATCCAAAGATTTATATCCAGTCGGCCAATCTGGTTTCGTCCATTAAAATAACTTTTGGAAATAATAATCGCGGTCCTGGACACTGAGTGACCTTACACATTAAGATAAAATCGGATTTTCTCCAGTCATTGTTAAAAAAACAAGCTAACAATACTTGCTAACTAGCGTTAGTGAAGCAGCCAGAGGGATCGCTCTGCCTCCACCTTAGCTCCGCCCACAAAAAACGTCACCATGTTTACCAACTGAAAAGGGGTCTATACTCACCCTCAAGTTCTTCTAAACCTGTATTAGGTTCTTATTTCTGTTGAAAACCAGGAAAGAATGCTAGTAACGCTAATAATGCTAGTAGTATTTTTTCTACTATGGAAGTCAATGGCTACAGTCGACTCTCTGATCTGAACTGCAGAAGAAAGAAACTCATATACAGTAGGTTAGGAACAACTAACCTTTGAGCGTCCAAAAACATTTAACACTATATTATTTCTGTAATAAGTACTCCTTTTAAAATAGTATGCTATTATGTAGTTCTTTTTCACAAGGTTGTACATGTCCCAACATGCCCTTTTTTTGAGAAGGACAGTCAAATCATTCCTTACCCTTGGAAACAACCACACTGCCTTATATTTCTCAATATCAGTGCACTACTATTCTTATGAGTGTTGATATTCCCCATCGGGATGAAAACATGAAAACATGAAAACGCGTGACCAAGCACTCAGACGACCTCGCACCACATCCTTTGGCGTACACAACAAGTACATAATGAGACGAAGGTATTAGTCAGTTGTCTAACAGATACTGGCTGCTCCCACGCTATGCGTGTCGTGTTATTGTGTTCCTCCAGTGGCCTGCAGCGCACGAATAAACACTACACCAGACTGATGGAAAGACTCCAACTCCATAAGAACAACACGTACAAACGGACAGAGAGCAAAGTCAATAAATCTGAGAGGCTTCAGAGATTTTTCAGAGCAAAATAAGGCCACGTTTGGCACCTGTTCACTTTGAGAAACCTCACTTTTCTTTTAAATTTTCGAGTATTTATTTCGAGCTTGCAGTACATAAGACCTAAACAGCATGAAAGAGAAACAGTGATGCTGTAATCAAAGTGCTTTCCGGCCAGTGGGGCCTATGAGAGTCTATCTCACTGGTTGTTGTTTATGTGTTGATCTGCCTGGAGGTGGTTCATGATCAAACTGAACTCAAAAGCAGTCTCTTTTGCTTGATCTGACCATGCAGTACATGAAGCCCAACACTACTGGAGCAGAATGAATGGAGCTGGAGGGCCAAACTTCCTCCCTGCTCTCCATCAATGAAGAGAAAGACAAAATGTTTTCTGCAACATGAGTTCTGCTTGCACAAGCATTGCATAAGTCACCCGTAATGACTCGTATGCATATAAACACAAACTGACACCCACAGATATACAGTCCATGTTGTTAACTAATGTAAAAGTATGATACATAGTGGGTCCATTTATACTGTCCGAGTGATTTACATGCCATATACAAGACATAGTATTGTCGTTTAAAAATTGACGATGAAGGACAGTTCTTTTTCATATTCAAATATTTTTCTTCTTTATTTCAGAAAGAAAATCCACAATTCATGGGAGAAGACAAGGCTTCGGAAAGAGAAGGAAACCCATGCTTTTTATTTCTGTCCACAGAGAAGTATGTGAATGCATAAATTGATTATGTTTCTCCAAGAGAACATATTTCAAACCTGTAGCTTGCCAAGGTAAGACACATTATATAAAGTAGTTAAACTCTATATGGTAGAAGCAAGAAACTGAGAAAAAGTAGCTAAATTGGAGATAGTTCACCCAACTATTGTATGTGTAGCTCATGTGGTCGAATGTGTTTGAACAACCACAAAAGGCCGCCTCATCTCCACCTACTGACCTGATGCGTAAACTTTATTGGAAGCGCACCTAGCCAGATGGGATTTAAACTTTGTTGGCTAAAGACACAAATTTGGTTTAAAAAACGTACCAAGCAAAATATTTTCTCATATTTCCTGATTTCTTACAGTGTTAGGCGTCATTTTGCGACTATCGGAGCAGAAACGAAAGGTGCTGCTTTCTTTATGTTTCCCGTCGTCTCCTTTTATATTCACGTGTGGTATACAAAAGGTCTACCACATAAGGTACTGAATACGCAGACGGATGCATTATGGAGGATTGGGATTACACATAGCGTCAGCCATCTTTTTTGGAAGCTAAGCTAGCTCTTGTTCTGTGGAGAAAGCCGAGTAGTAACTTTAGGGGTTATCGTCCTCTTTTTCCCGGACATGTCCGGCCGTCGATGTCCGGGATTCTGCTGTCGCCATTCATTGTTTACAACTTCTGAATTCATTCTGATTGGTGAATCTGAATGTAGTGTTTACATGAACGCTAAAAAAGTGATCGGTTGATGTGCGTTTTAACATTGCTAAGAAAATTCCCGCTCCTCCGTGAGAGATACGAGACCGTTAACTTACGTCTCACATGTGCCACTCATCGGTAATCTCGCCACCAGCCTCGCGTCATTCTCCACGCGGCCCTCACTCGTCCCGCTCGACATAGTAAACATGATGAATGGCGACTGTAGAATGCAAAAGCCGAATCCCGGACATTTTTGGGCAATCTCGAAACACATTTTCGGGACACATCACGGAGACTCACTAGACTAGCTGTTTAAATACTGTGGTCTGAAGGCGTGGCCTCCTACACTGTAAAAAATAACCGTGATTTTAACGGTAAAATACTGTAAAAATGCTACAGTGCAAAACTGTTAATTGGTAAACAGAAAGTTTCCGTACTATACACGGTAAATAACTGTGATATAATTTTACAGTAAAATACCGTTAAATTTACAGTTTTTGAAAGTGAAAAAGAACAAATCATTGTATAATTTACAGTGAAAAAACGTGAATTGACATTCCCACAATTTCCTGTGTGACACTTCACATTTTATGTATTTTTGTTGAAATGACTATGGTTCCTTATAGTTTTATTGTTTTTTTCTAATCAGTTATGTTCATTAGGGTTTTATGTTACATGTAATGTTGTTAAATTAATGTTTATTGCATTTTTTTAAATTTCATGTGTGTTACCACTTAATGTTGCTTAATGTTTGTGTGAATGACATTGTGCAGCTTCTTTAATTAAGTATTGCTTTATACAAGTATTCACTTGATGAGCTGTGATTGCTCATGTAACTATCATCACTGCTGTGATGATTGTTGGTTGTCAGTGTATTACAATGGTCTAAAACAGATATCAATACATCAATACGTTGGTAAATTCACATTTTATCAGAAAATAAATTACGGTTTATTACTGTAAATTTTAAGTTAAGTCTGTAAAACCATTAACATTCCAACCGTATTTTTAACAGTAAAGTTCTGGCAACCACAGCTGCCGGTTTTTACCGTAAAATTTACGGTTTATTTTTTACAGTGTAGGGCAGCAAAGCAAGTGCATTCTGGGACTTGTTGTCTTTCATCCACATAAGCCAAAAATACATTTTCTGGCTTTTCTCAGTCTAGAAAGCTCCAAATTCGAAACATATATTACCTTATCTTCTACATAAATTACCCATTTTAAATACACATTCATCTTTCCAGAGGTGGAATGACCCTTTAATAGATATAACTAAAACACTTAAAGCACTTAAAAATCACTGAATTATCATTATTATTATTATTATTATTATTATCTTTACTTCCCAACATGGGTTGAGTAAAAAGAATAAACTCTTGAACAGCATAACTGGCTGGTCAGGTAAACAGTCACTTCAAATTCAATTCCTGCTCACACAAAATCTCTGATCTGGATAAAATACAGTTTAATTTACAACAACGTCTGTTTGAAAGAACTTATTGTCACTGTGGAATAAATAAATAGATAGCTGAACACTCCTCCTGGTGTATTTTTTCCCTCTCTAGCACAAATAGCCCTACCTGTCACTTTCTACCAGAAGATTTTAAAGACGGCGTACAATTTTCAATAATGTTCCGCGGGTCCCAGAGGAGCTCAATTACTCCAGGCCTACAGAGGCCACTAAATCAGCATTTCAAAGTGAAACTCCCTTCCACAAAGACCTTTGAATTGAAATAGAAAAGTTTCTCCTTCCCAGCCGTTTGGGCTCAACTCTGATTGACCTCTCTCAATCTGTGCCTCTCTGTTGTAAAAAACAGGCATAAAATAAGGCAGAGTTAATAGAGTTTAGGACTAAAAGCCAAACCGCACTGGAATAGGAAGGAGATGGAAAGAGTCAAGGGAAGGAGAGGAACTGAGGCCGAGTGAAATTGAGCAAAGGGACGAAAGAGAGATCCCTAAGGGAGGGAGATTGGGTCCGGGCTGCCTGAGGAGATTCCCGCCTCTAATTGGCCGAATGCCTTCACTCGGCGTTCCCACTATGCCTTGCGTTGCAGTGACTTTCTCTAAAGTCTCAATGGACTCCTCAAGGTTACCGTCACTCTTCAGCGTTATCGCTGCACTCTAAGCTACTGTAGCAAATCTGCTTTTGGCCTAGCGATTATGGACTACCGAGAATAGCTGAATGTTCAAAATGTTCAACACACACACGTGCGGCTTTTCATCAACTTTAACACTCATATACTTCCCCGAGAACCACGATCAAACAGGCACAGGGTGACTATCTGATGAAATCGGATTAGAGTAAAATATTGACTGTGAACAATAACTAGATTTCCTCGTGTATATGTGTGTGTTTTTTATGGCATTAAAGGCTGAAAAGCGTGCCTTTGAATCCAAAAGTGTTCGGGGTGTCTTTTCAGTTCCAATCCAATAGAGAAATCCTCTTTTTTTTTGCTTTCCTTCCAGCATCGCCGCTGCTAACCGAATAACCTCTTGTGTGTGTATCAAAGTGGAATCAAATAAAGAAAACATCTCTACTTTCATTTTGCCCCTGTCTTTTCTTCTGTAAAGCCACAGGTATTAACCAAGTGAAGATATTTCATGATATTAAAATGGCATTTTTTTTCTCAATCGTAGCCACAATTGCATTACTGTTGCAGCAAGATATTTGGTGCCGTGTTTGCATATGTAATCTGAAACAGATTGATAAGAAGCAGAGGTGTGCACGAACTAATAAATCAACCCCCTTGACCCAAGTCTATGCTTTGATCCCATGGTGACGGGAAAATATGCATAAATCCCTCTTCATATCCAGAATTCCGACATCGCTCTGATGAGCAGACGCGCAGATTTTTAGGACGCGCTATCTATAATATGATGGAAATAACAGTGTTAAAACATTTATGAATGCTTACAGAATGAACAAAGTCTGAATTCCGTGTGTGTTGGCAGTTTTCCATAACAATATTTAGCCAGGAGCCATCTTCCTTTCTCAAAAGTGAACTTTTGGTCAGCATTATTATCAATTATGCAGTATTCACCTTCTGCTGGAAATTCATTAGGAGATCAATAAAAATCACTTATGTCCAGCAGCAAAATCATTATGTATGTGCCAGAAATCCTTAAGCAGCTCAAGAAACATTTTCAAAGGAATATTGATTTAAAAGCTGGATGTTATATGAGTGTTGCACTCTACACTTTCAATAGATTACTTCAGTGTGACCTCGTACAGTATTCCTGCTTAGGGCATTTTGAAAAAGCCTTGGATGTTTTTTTTGGAAATGTAAGCAATTACTATAAGGGAGAGTAAGTGAATCCTGTGTAATACTAACGGAATTGCTTTTAGAAACAAAAATGTGCTCACACTGTATAGTTCACTCAACAAACAGTCATCTTCAAAGTAACAGTGTGTATCAGGATAGATAATGATAGGACGTCCATGTTTTAACTGTTCTCATGGGAAGTGTATTTTTCTACAAATGCCAAGTTAAATATTATAAATATATCTATGATTTGTTTGTTATACCGTATATACATACTCACTATAGTGCTTAAAGAGTTTGGTAAGCTTTTGAAACGTTTTAGAAAGAAGTCTCTTGCGCTATGTTTACACGGAAACGATCTGAAGACGAAACACGAAAGCGTTGCGTTATCACTTTTTATTCTGCGTTTAGACGAGCGTTATGAGTGGGGAATCCTTGTGCATATAGTGACGCAAAAGTGTGTGAAATTTGATGTAGTATGCACTCCAGGCAGCTAGGTGGCGATGTGAAGCACTGCCACACAACAACACCAAGTCCGAGCGCCTGCGTACAATCATTACTGTCAAGCAGACTTTGGCGTTTTTACCGTTTACACGGGAACGTGGCGGTGGAGCGTTTTTAAAGATTTCCACTCTGGAGGGAGGTTTCACTTTTTTGCGTTTTTAAGCCCCCAAAACGCCGTCGCCGTGTAAACGAAAGGCACATCCGAAAATTGTTTTTTTTAACGTTTTCACCCGCGAGCGTTTTTGTGTAAACAGGGCCTTATGCTCACCAAAGAGTACTATTGTTAAATATTATTACAATTTACAATAACATTTTTTTATTTTTAAATTTAAGATATGATTAAAATGTAATTTGTTCCTGTGATGGCAAAACAACATTTTCAGCAACCACCAAGTGTCACGCGATACTTCAGAAATCATTTGAATATGCTGATTATATTAATTGAACGTGCCCTTGCTGAATAAAAGCAATACTGTCACCAAACTTTTTGAATGGCGGTTTAATAAAATGTTTCATGAATTATTTTATGTTTACTTGCTGAAAATCTTAGTGTGCTCTTTAGTGGGATTTTCCCCACTGTGATGTGCTACTGACTGACATGTTATCACAGAAGGTCAATGTGTGTTAAATGAACTGAAACTCTGTTCTGGCCAGTAACGGCAGGAAATTTTCAATATACTTTTTTTTTGCAGCCAATACTTGTATGTGCCAGATATGGATTTTCAAAAATAACCTACTCTTAGAAATATTCACTAGGGTAAAAAATATCCACTGTGTGATATAAATATCAATAAACTCTTTTTTTTTTTTTTCACTGGTTAAGCTGCTGTATGCAATTTCTG